CCCTGGGCATTAGAATTTGTGGTGTTCTCTCACAGATGTGCAAAGAAATCCAAAGTTGCTTGCTGCATCTGGGGGAATCTTAACCAGAAAGCTGTCTGCTTTGGGGATTCAGATTCCGGGTTAGTAACCAGATCACCTCGACTGAGAACTGTTGAAAAGGCATAATATGACCTGGCTTCTTCCAGATCGGGTCATCTTTAAAGAGAACCAGTGCACCAAGACCCACAGGACTCGCCAGGCATTGGAGGATCCCCACAATTTGTCTTTGCGCGAGGCCTACAAGCCAACTTCGGTGTTGGCGACACACCCAGGGGGTGAGACCCTAGTACTGGCTATGGGCCCCACGCAGGTGTCCGGCCTGTGCGCGGGGTGCACAGGGGCCCAGGAGCCCCGAGAGAGACGTTATTGTTACACTGTAACGAGTCTGATTAACACGCTCCTGACACTTTCTCTTAGTTTCTCCGGCTCCTAGCAACCGCGCACAAAGGCGAGGGATTGTCCCCGGCTCCGCGGGGACACGGGGCAGCCTTTGATCTTGTACCATTACAGCCTGGCTGCGCGACAGGCTCGCGGGGTCCGGGAGGCCCGCAGTCCTGGCCACTGGGCCAGTGGAATCCCCCACTGCGGCCCGGGCCTGGCCCGGACGGCCACTGCCCCCCTCCCCAAGTACTGCTACACGCGCATAACTCATCGAGAAGGGAAGGGCAGCAGCTTCCGAATGGTGCCCAGAGTCTGCTGGTCTCTGCCCAAGGGTAATGATCACGCGTTGATTGCTGGCAGTGGGTGGTGCGGGACGGAACAACCTGACCACTTGGGCACGTCTTTTTCCTAAACGGCACGCCGGTACCAGGCTTGCCTTGCCCTTCCGGTAGGAAGCAGTGAAAGGGGTGGGGGAACAGAATAGAAAAAATAAAGGGAAAAAAATATATAAAGGAAGGACACAGTTACACAGTCCCCCAAAACGCAATAACCCGTTAGATGAAATTTGAGTGGATCGCCACAAACTCTGTGCACCCGGGGAGAATTTCGGTGCCTTTCCAGCGCTTGCTTTGTGCCACTGGCAATTCTTATGGATTTTGAAGGAGGTGTGCTGTCAAATAATTACTGGACTCTAAACAAACCGTCTCCACCAACCACAAAAGTCATCATGACAGAAGCGCGAAAAGCTGCCGGGTCCCACTGCATGTAAGTTTTAGAGGCTCTGAGCTGAGTGATTTGCTTTCCAGTTCGGTCGCTTTCTTAGCTGTCCCTCCCCCTGCCTCAGTTTAGAACCGAGAGTGGAAAGAAAGAAGAGTTCGGCTTTAGCATTTCAATGTTAGGGTCAGGTAATTACTTCCCCTAAATTGCAAAGTGAAGGCCTTGCAGGGGGCGACCCCGGGAGAAGTCGTTGTTCCCAACTCCTGCATTTACAGACCCGTCCCGTGACCTCCGCCAGTATTAATATTCACAAGTTTCCCGTGGAAAAAAAAAATCTTATGACCTGTTTTGTTCCTTCAATTGCTTTTCTAGCACTAGAGGGTAAAAAAATAAAATAAAATAAAATAAAAAACCCAGAGGATTCAGATTGCAAAATAAACGCCAAAGAGATCCCCCCAAAAAAAGCAAAAGAAGAAGAAAGGAAGAAAGAAAGAAAGAAAGAAAGAAAGAAAGAAAGAAAGAAAAGGAAGGGGGTGGAGAGCCGGTATTCTCACCTCTCCCCGTGGCAACTTAGAAAATTCCAGTGTCTAAAGAAAGTCAGTTTCCCTAGCTCCCACAAAACTATTGAGTGCAAAGGTGTTCCAGGCGATAATGACTTCTATTTTAGAGAGTGGAACACCGCATGGTTGGTTCTATTTACCCAGCAAAATATGCCAGGCAATCAGAGACTTTCAAATTCAAACTACAGGCGGTGAAGTCTTCATTCCCCGGAACACTATTTCCTGGCTTGTCTCTAGAGCAGTGGGGGCCAGCGCTGCCGGGTGGACAACTGAAGGCTCGAGAAACTCCCTAACTTGCGGTCCCTGGCGGTGTCTCATCCGGCCGGAATTCCCCTCACCCTTTCAATAAAACATGACTGTACAGATAAAATCCTCTATACATTAAAATGAGTTTGTCATAGATAGTCATTAAGACCTCAGTAAAACAATGAAGACATTATTGGGCACCCCCCCTCGGGCAAGGTATTAAAGGAATAAAGCAATCTACACCACACGGGTCCTATTGAGATTAATGAAAAAATTATGCAAAAAAATCGCAATTTCATTTTCCCGTGACGAGGCTTTGCGTCGATCCAGTCAGTCTTGCTTCGCACCTGATGATTTATTAAACTAATCTGTGGCCATCAACCGCTGATGTTCTCAGCTCAATCTTGTCCTGGCTCATTTTCTAAGTGATTGTTTCTCATTAGTTCTGATAATGTTTTAATAGTGTTATCCATAATTTAGCCCCCTAGAATTAATAACAAGGCGGGGGGGTGTGTGATATGGCAAAGTGGCTGCCATGAGCTACACAAAAATATAAACAGGTATTTTTTTTAATTAATCTGATGAGCAGCCAAGTCCCCTTCCCAGCACAGAGTGAAGGCCCTATGTCTGTATTCCTACAGCAGGGTTTCGACAGGCTCACTTGGCCCTTGGCAGCGTTTCTCTTTGCCCTGCCCTGTCACCTACTCATGGTACCATGGATGTGAGTGGGAGAAGGGGGTACCTTCCTCCTAGTTTCTCTGTGTTTTAGAATTCTGTCTCTCAGGGAATGAGGTCCCATGGGACTCTGGTGGTCACTAACCTCCCTTCCGTGGCCCTTGTTAGGTTGTCTGCTCAGAGAACCAGCAGTTGGCTCACATCTCTGTCTCCTGTGGGCCCCAGTCTTGTGATCCTACCATAAATGGGATCTCTCTGCTATGAAGATGATCAACCTGGTGTGGTTTTCAGCTGGGTACCATGGTACATACGCATCTGTAATCTCAGTACTTAGAAGGATGATGCAGGAGGATTCCCATGAATTTGGCGTTAGCCTGGGATACATGCAGATCAAGATTCTGCTTAAAACAGGGTATTTTTGTGTGAATGAGGACTCTGGATTGGGAGGACTCACTAGGCCCAGCTCTCAGAACCACCTAGAAGGGTTCCTTTTCTTGAGGACTCCATGGCTTCTACCCATATTCAGGAGGGGCTTACTCAGAGGGAGGCCCTAGCTTGAGGAGGTCCAACCTGTGTGGGCCATGCTTGTGTGTGTGTGTGTGTGTTTTCACATGTACATCAAGGCCCTCTGTTCTCTGCTGGCTTGTAAGCAGTCTTTGTAAGTCTTTGTTTCAAAGGGAGACCAGTGTGGACCCTGTGGTTCTAACTTACTCGGTGTACACTTGACTTCAAGATCCAGATGCAACGTGAGGACTTGGGGGTGCTTCTCACCCAGAAATGTCATCTATTGCCCCTGTCCGCTGTCCTGAAGTACCCTCCGAGGGAGGACAGCTTCTTTCTACTCCCATAGATTTTTCCAGAAACTCTGGGGTAGCAAGCCCAAGTGAGGAATGATGGCTTCTTAATGAAGGCCTTCACAGGGTCCAGAGCCGGCGGCAGTGGCCCGGCGGGCCTCATTTCTGTTTAAAAGCAAGCCCCTCAGGCTTCCTGCTTGTGAATACTCATGTCTCAAGAGCATGTTTCTCTAGATCTATCAGTTCTGGGTCTGCTTCAGCCACAAGCCAGTCAGAGAGTGGTCTCCCCGTTACTGCCCTGCACCGGGAGTTCATGGTGGTGGTGGTGGTGATAACAGTGGCTTCTGGCCTGGCATTAATGTGGTGATATGTCATCCACCTCTAGGGCTTTCTGTAGGAACTGAAAGGATGAGGGCAAAAAGCAGGGCCCCTGGATGGGGCACATGCCCAGGGCCATGAAGGGAACACACCAAAAGGACCTATGAGGAGGAGAAAAATGAAACTGGAAAACAACTGTTTTCTATTTACAGATTTAAATAAACAGAACAGCCTTCCCCTGCGGTGTTTGTCTAAGAGGAGCGGCCACGCTGCTGAGTAGGTCATGAAAAGGTTGGTGTGGAGTTTTAAACGTCCCATTCTGCTAATTTCTTAAAGAACAGTAGTCCAGAGTCTCCACACAAAAGCTCATGATTTAATGAGGAAGAGAAACAAAATCTCTGCTTGTTGGTGTTTCAAACTTCATTGGCGTCCTCTGGCACGCACAAGTTGATCCTCTGAGGCTTCAATACCCTTTCGCCTTCAGTATAAGAGTGCACGCTGAATGCGGAACAATGGCTGGTTGTTATGTTTGTTTACCCTGCCTACAAGCTGGGTTAACCTCTTCAAAACAGCTTTACTAAGCCCGTTAACCACACCACCCATATGACCCACAGTCTCATCTCTAATGTGATGCAAATCTTTCAGGGGGCCATATGCACCAGCCCTGTGGCTTTGTGTCCTCTAGACATACAAGTTTATGGCTGAGGGAGTCCTATCTTGGCCCTACATTTACAGAGGGGAAATGGCCTCAATGGCGAACAGTTTAAGCAGGAAGATAAAGGGGAGAATGAAACGGGGCTTGTTTTCCCTGAATTGATTTTTTTTTAATTGCCAGTAACTGTTGACCTCAAGTATTCAACCAAGATGAGAACTTTCAGGGTCACCATATGGATGGAGCCTTTGGAGGACAGAGGCTCCCCAGGGTCAGTTTTGAAAGTTGATTTTTTTTTTAGAAGCAGTCTTTTTTGTAAGGTACTGTAATACCTAACATTTTCAATGCCATCTTTGTCGTTTACCTGATTACTCATAAAAGTGCTGAAACATTGATTTTGATATCATTCTTTAAGAACGTAGCCTTAAAGTTATCTGTGGTATCCACTGTGCAAATGAATAATGTTGGAAATATTTCCTAATAAAAGGAGAATGGAGAGAGTGTATATAGACCAGAATACCTGTTTCATTGAGGACACCTCCCCGCCCATCTTCCCTCCCCAGGAGACAATAAACCCATATTTATAACACATTAATAGACGACAGTAAAACCATGAGCTTAGACTCCAAAGGAAGAAAGTTTATTTTTAGAATAACTGGTCAATAAGACATGAAGGAGGCTGGGAGTCGTGACTAACACGAACTGTAAATGAAACAAGGTCCTGATCCGGTATGCTAGCAAGCCACCCTGGGTACTGTGGCTTGTCTTTAAGAAACCCACTGTATCCGTTCAGCCCGCCTGAGGAGGGCTTCATTTAACAGATCATTTTTCCTTGATGGATGTGGCAAGCGTAACAATGTTGTGGGCCTGTTTCAGTAATGGCATGTCGATCATACTTCCCCGGAAAGTAAAGGCTCCCTGGAAAACAGAATACAAACTTCCTGAAAGAATGCTCTAAAATTATAGGGTTCTTTTCCTGCTCACACTCTTGTACCGCAAGAACATTTCAGATCCCACCTGACGTTATGCTGACTTTCCTGCCCAACTTTTGAGAAAAACAGAGCAAATTGCAGGGGAAAGATTTCTTTTTATCCTCCTACAGAGGAAGGGAGGGGGGGGGGATCCTTCAGCATTTTAACAGAGAGGAAAAAAAAACAACCACATCAGACGCAAAACACGGCAAACTGTTCATTTAGCTCTTTAAAAAATCAAATGGAAAACAACTGTGGAAGAAAAATGCAAATGCTTCCTTATTTCATTTTGAAATGTTGTGTGGGACTTGGAAACAGCCATGTGCTCTGGTGAGTGATTATTGTTTATAAAATGTATATTATCATCAGCTTAATCAATGCTTCCTTCTTGCCAGACATAGGGAAAGTGTTTCTCCAGGGTGATGAGAACATGTGAAATCAACTATCTTAAACAAAAAGAGATCGTGCTACTGGGCACACAAGTCAATGACAAAGTGGTCACTCGCTGACTGTTGGCCAGACTTGGAGGCATCTCTGCCTCCAACCTCTGTGTACCCACATCTTGCAGATTCTTTACTTCTCAAACCTGCAAACACCCACTCAGTGTGGCGTGTCATCAGAACCCTATTCTGGGTTGGGACACTGGGGCCTACAGTAGTGATCTTCCAAAGGCACATGACTGGGAGGGGTTAGAGTTACAGGTCACAATGAGTCTCCCAACTCCAAACCTTCACTGGAATCAAGAGAAAGGCAATCAATTGACAGAAGGGGGTATGCCCAGATCCCACAGTGTCACCTCAGTATTTGCCCTCTTGTTGCCTTTAGTTTTGTTTTTCTTACTCTCTGCCACAGGCTGCTCTTCAGTTCAAGGCAATTCTCCTGCTTCAGTCTTCCAAGTGTTAGAATCACAGGTGTGAGTTACCATATCTGGTTTCAGGTACTTTCAATCTTTGTTGTGTTTGAGACAGTGTCTCATTTGCTGTGTAGACTGGGCTGGCTTTGGACTCATAGAGCTCTGCCTGCCTCTGCCTCCTGAGCACTGGAATTAAAGGCCTGTGTTACTATGCCTGGTTTTTCAATAGTTTTTTTTTTTTAATTATTTATCTTTGAAATACTAGAGATGAAACTTGGACCCTTCTAGACAATGGCTCTGAGACACAGCAGTCCAGTCTAACCACTTCTCTCTCTCTCTCTCTCTTTCTCTCTCAGAGACAGGGTTTCTCTGTGTAGCTCTTTGTAGACCAGACTGGCCTGGAACTCACAGAGATCCCCCTGCCTCTGCCTTCAGAGTGCTGGGATTAAAGGCATGTGCCACCACTGCTGGCTCTAACCACTTCTTTCTCCTTCCTTTCACCTGTGGTCAAGGATGGTCCAAGAGAGACAGCAGTTGCTCCTGGAACTCTGAAGGTGGGTGGAGCCATGCTAACCCTTGGTGGTTCCTTCCCTATTTCATAAGCCTGGGTACAGCTTGTCAATAGTCAGCAATGCCTCTGCTGCTCCTGCACAGGGCCTCTAGGATGGACATGCTGGAGCTACCATGAGGGTTACACAACAGGCACAAAGGGTATACTTGTAGGATGGAAGTAAGCAACAGAGAACCCTTGGTGGTAGCTTCAGATTTTGTCTTTCAATAGAGAGAGATTAAAAAGCCTACATAACAGGAATTTTTCCAGGAATTCATGACCCTCTTAGCCTTAGAATGATGAATCTATTAGTCACATCTGTGTGATCTGAAATCCTGTATTTGGGTCACTTTTCTGACCTTCTCTATTTTACCATATATATCCTTTCAGTTGGTCTTTGGCCCACTCCATATAGCCTAGAGCTAATCTGGATCATCTAGGACCATGATGAATTTTATGAATCTGGTTGGGGTGGTTTTCCGGGTTAGAATTCCATGGAGATCAGGGTGTGGGTCCCATGCTGTTTTACAAGGCAATAGTCTAGTTTTCCCATTGGAGTAAATGAAGACACACAAAGGCCTCTTCGTTACCCAGAGAGTGGATTATGGCCCCTGTAAAACAGTGCATCTGCCCTTCTAAGGTTTAACTAACAGGCTGGAGAGAGAAAGTTAGTGTAGATAAACACAAAACAAAACAAACAAAAGAATGATGAACTCGGAATGAAAAGTGATGCCTCTGGGTTCAGACCATGTCTCCTTCCACAAGCACACTAGAGATGAGAAATCCTTTCAGCTTTATGTCAAGACCTGGCCAGAGAAAGTATTTCTTCTTTTTGTGGGTGCAAATCTGGCTTGGTTCCCTTTATTGTAGTGGAAAACAAAAAGTGGCATCCCTGATCTCTTCCCTTTATCTCTGCAAGTCCAGGACCTGGTGAGAATACACACTTGTCTTCATACATGTATTCATACTGTGCCCGATGCTGTTGTCTTTTAATGTATGGATTTATCTGGGCAGCCTCAACATCCAGGGGTCAGGACTCGCTTTAGAAAAGGCACGCAGGAAGCAGAGGCAGGAGGATCTCTGTGAGTTCCAGAGCATCCTGGTCTACAGAGTGAGTTCCAGGACAGGCTCCAAAGCTACACAGAGAAAACCTGTCTAAAAAAAAAAAAAAGGCAACTTGTCAAAAAGCTACTTGGATTTTCAGGGACAGTTTGAAGATGATGGAGGTGTTTCTATTTCTCTGGCTGATGCTCTTTCGGAAAATTGATAATTCCACCTCAAAAACCGCAAGGAATGTCTACCAGCCTGAAGATTCAGGTTATAATTTTGTTTTAGGTGCCTTTGAGTAAGTTAGAGAGATGTCTGCTCAGTGGTGAAGAGCACCGACTGCTCCTGATGAGGACAGACTGAGATCCCAACCCCCATGCTGTGGTTCACCACGTCTGGAACTCTAGCTCCAGGGCATCCAACAACTGTCTCTGTAGGTACCGCATGCGCACAACGCACACACATACACGGAGGAGGCAGACAGTCTTACACATAGGAGTAAATAAATCTTTTAAAAATGCTTTTAAATGACAGCATGCTTGTGACCAAATACTTTAAGACCCACCCATGCTGACAAAATAATAACAGCTGTAATTTTTTTTGAACAGTTACTCATCCCAGAGTCAGTACTGGAGCTCCCCTCTCTGCCCCATCCCTGCTGACCTGCTCTCCACCCCACATCCTAAACCTCTGTTCCCGTGTCTTCTATCCATATTCATCCTTACAGCTTAAGAATCTGCCTGTTGCAAGTCCATCCTGTTGCTTACTAGGATATAATGGGAACGAACATGTTTGCTTCTAAAGATTTATTTTAAATTAGATGCATGTGCCCATCTGTGTGTGGGCAGGTGCACAGGTGCAGTACAGGTACCCATGAAACTCAGAAGACAGTATTGGAGCCCTTTGATCTAGAGGTATAGGTGACTGTGAGCCACCTGGTATGGGTGCTGGGACCCAGAACTCAGGCCCATGGCAAGAACAGTACCTACTCATAACCAGTGAGCCGCCTCTCCAGCCTCAAGACAGATTTATCTGACTCAAATCCTGTGTGTTCTTAAAAGCTTTTGGACTGAAAAACGTGCTAAGCATGTTCCATGATTAGCTGAATCGGACTCTCACACAAATAACCAGTCTGACTTAGCTGTGTTATTTGTGTTGGAGGGGGTGTGTTAAATTGCAGTTTCCAAGCTCAGTCCTACAGGGTTAGAGGCAGAAAGCCTGGAGGTTGGCCAGGAATTGTGTCATGATCCCAATGCACACTTGAGTTTGTGACCTTGTGTTTTTGTTGCTCTGAGTTGAAGTGGCCAAGTTATAAGTACAGGCTCACAAAGTGTAAAGCCACTTGAGCCCCTGTGACCTCACGGAGCTTGGTAAGGGACTCTTCTCAGGTTACTCATTAATTAGTCAGTGATCATCCATCTGCTGTGGGTGGAGCAGGCTGTGCCCGGACCTGGGTAACTGCTTAAGACAGGAGGGGGAAGGCTCCATCCTACCCTCTAAGAGCTTCCAGTTGTGGGAGCAGACAAAGAAGAAAAGCAGCTGATGCCTCTGAACTGAACGAGTGGAGACCTGTGGGTCTGTAATGGCTTTTTCCCAGTGGACACCTTCCTCACCAGGTTGCTCAGCTGCACAGATGTGAGGCTGTGAGCTCAGCCTAAATCACACACATCCCATGACAGTTGCCCTAGGGCTCAAGCCCTGCAGGCTTTCATTCTATGGTGACCAGTTGTGTCATTTGTCCTTGTGAATCCCTGGTCAGTGGCTTTGCTCTTATTGCACATAGGTCTGTGATTTAGATTCAGAAGTGAGGGCTAACGTCATGGCAGAGTCATGTCATCTGTATGGGGGGGGCCCGGGAGGAGGAGGAGGGATTTTGTGTCATTCCTAGTGATGAAAGGCACTGAAGGCTTGGTATCTAGTAACTCAGACGTACAGCACTAGCCTAGCATACCAGAGGCCCTGAGTTTGATCCCCAGGACCAACCAAAAACCAACGATGGTTCAGAGTGGCCCTGGAGTTACATAAAGCTCTTGAGGAGGAAGTGAATGGATGTTTTCTTGGGGGAGCGGTTAGCTGGGAAGAGTGACACATGTATAGAGAGTGGTCAGTTTCTGTCACTTAGCACCTGTCGCTTGTTATTTATTTATTATGGACACAATGTTCTGTCTGATGTATCCCTGCAGGCCAGAAGAGGAAGCCAGATCTCATTACAGATGGTTGTGAGCCATCATGTGGATGCTGGGAATTGAACTCAGGACCCCTGGAAGAGCAGTCAGTGCTCTTAACCACTGAGCCATCTCTCCAGCCCAGCACCTATAGTTTTGTTTTTGTTTTTGTTTTTTGTGGTTTTCCTTCTCTGAAGCACTAAAAGACCAGTTTGCTAGGTGCTGGCATTACTACTAACTCCTCTTCATCTATGCCAGAGTGGGCTGCAGGCCTTAGGCACTCATGGCATGTGCTCTGACTTAGAGTGACATAACCAGCTCAAATGGATGCT